TATATTCCTAAGGCATCTCAACTTGGGATCCTAGAGAGTAACCAATTATTATAACCTTGTCTATGATTTGTGAATTTGAGCTAATTTTAGGGAAAGAAATTGAACCCTTTATCGTCACTTTAAATTGTTCCTAAATTGGCAATGTCAGGCCTTTTTGACAGCTGTCACTCTGAAAACGCTATTCACAAGTGACTTTAATTGGATCAAATTCAGACTATAGATTTTTAAAAAAGAAGTAATACTTTAAATGCTGTCAAAACAACTAGTTACTTGGAAAAATTTAAAAGATATTTTTAAATGTGTGGGTTTGTCTCTGCATGTGTGCATATGTGTTCACACATGGGTGTGTGAAAAGTACTTGTCCCTGAAGCAGGCCATTTTTTTTAACTCAAGTTCTTTCTTTTCTCTTTGACAATGACTATAAATAGTTCAGTTTCTCGAGCATCTCCCATCTTGCGCTTGTAGTCCTGGGATTGGTCAGAGAAGTTTTACAAAGTTTACTGATCTGAGAAATGTTTTGATTTGAGCTATACTGTGCTAGTTGAATAGACTCGATTCAGTGATGGGTCACAGAAAAATGAAGGAACCAGTCCAAAGTCACACCAAATATGACCATGTGTAGTTTAAATCCTGTTTGTTTGTTTTTTACAGAAAGAATAGTAGACTATCTAGACATAAGATACTTCTAATTTTAGAGAGGATTAAATATACATCTTCAGAAGTATGTTCCTGACTAACAAATTCTGGTAATTTAAAACTGTTTTGTTTGTTTTTTAACTAATATGTCAATTCTTCAAAATGGACAAAAATTGTAATAGAAATATATTTATGTTGTCTCTATCCCCTCCTCTTTCCCTCCCTCTCTCTGAAAACATACAAACACACATAGATATATACACACATAAATATACAAAGTATAATTTCAATTATAACATTTTAACATAATACAACAGTAGACAGCCACCAAAATAAAGTCTATTTTCTATAACTTTATATTGGAAATGTGTAAATTTAACTCAATGATACTGATTCTGCTTCACTTAGAATCCTCTTTGAACATATTATGCTTTTTAGTTCTTCGAAATTCATTCAGTATACTTCAAAATGTCAACTTCTAAAGTGTAGAAAGATGTTAATAACTTCCTTAGGTCAATAGTTTGAACCAGACCCAATACAGTCAATAAATATAAACTCTTAGTAATGGTCTATACAACCCACTGCATAGCAGTGAAAGGAAGAATAAAAGCCCCTAATAACAACCAATATATTTATAGTTTACTCGACTCTGAAGAATATAACCAAAATATCAAGTATTTAGAAAATATATAACTAATGTCACCTATACTCCCATTTGCCTAATGGCAGTACTTTTAGCACTATGGGATCATTAAACTTTATATTTCAATAACTTAACTCTTAAAAATCTTGGATGGAGGATTTCATTCATTTTTACCAATTTCTTCTTTTTTTAATTCAAAATATAAACTTGAAATGTTTTCTCTTGTACTATATTCCCAATGACTAATTTTATAAAGGACCTTGCTATTTCCAGTTGATAAACACATCCTAGAAGAACCAGGTATTCAAAACTGTGTTCTATATCACCTCTACGTAAAATTTTGGTACACAAGATGAAGTGACTTCACGATCCTATATATTTTGTAATGAGATAAAGCTATGCAAAAGTTCACAAGCTATCTTCAAAGTATGCATTGGAAATTTCCTCTTTTAATGACACCTTACAAAGTTTTAGGCAAAGCTGTGTCCTTTTGGCTTTAAGTTGTCTTTTCTGATAACATATTGAGGACAAATTAAATGATTCAATTCAACCACGCACACTGATCCACTCCAAGTATGATGATTGAGAAGTATGTATCTGTCAGAGTTGTGCCATATATCATATTAATTATTCATAACTATCTACTCTATTCTTCTTTTATAGATATAAGATATTTTTACTGCCTAACTTATTATAATATTCTCCTTCAATTTATGAGCAGAGAATGTGCACATGGACTTGTCAAAATTAAATTTTGTAAAAAATAGAGCCCAACTTACTTCTTTGTAAACTGCATGCTATATTTGTGTGGTGGCTCACAGACATCATTCTTATCATAAATATCAATATTTTTATTTTCTTCTTAAAAGAAATATACAAAATGAATATTTTCACTATTTAGATAACTAAATATGACATTCGCGTAGAAGTGGAATTTTCAATTTAATGAAACTTTTTTCAAGGCACTATCTTAGAAAATTAGCATTTGGTGCTAAGTGTTCTAGTTAAATATTTATGGCTTTGTTGGGTACAGTTTAACATTTTCAATTTTAAAAAAAGCTACCTCAAAAAATTATAAATATATTATGATTCTCTATTGATATGTAAGCTTTATGAACAACACCACAATTACATTTAGCATACCTCTATTGTCTTAAAAAATCATTATCTTGGGCAGGTCATTCCTCTTGCTTGGGTTCATATTGCAGAGAAGTTTTCTTAACAGGAGAAATTTTACTCCAGGGTGACCAAGAAGTGAGAGAAAATTATGGTTTTCATAAAAATTTCTAAAAATTTGCTTTCCCTCATTTGTTATATCCACCTATCACTATAACCTGTCAGAAAGGGATAGTGGTGGCTGCAAGGTTAGTTTTTGCATGCTTATGTTTCAAAACAATTTAGTAGTCATTTAAATGTGGCTTGATTGGACCACTTATAATGGAAAGGGAGTTATGGTCTTAAATGTATAGTCTACTACTTTTTACTTTTTAGGGCACGTAGAGTTTGGTCTACTTCAGTAGGGCTGCCATATTAACACAACAAATTCTTATAACATTTAACTAAAGTCTTCGTTACTTATTGCCTTAACACCATGTACATCCCCAACAATGCCACTGCAATTTCATAATCATAAACTCCAATCTACATAGAATATATAGTATCAAACTGTGTTTTTAAACACTCATGCTTTCACAGGATAAAATGAGTTTTTGTCTTTTTCCGATTATGATACCTAGGGTCTTTGAAAAAATAATCTGGAAAAGTTTTGGATCCATTGTTCTTGATCCAAGTTTTTTAAGAATCTCACCATTCTATTACAAAAGTCAAGAGAAAATGAATAAATGGAAATGGATTTTCCTTCCTTTTTATACTACTAGCCTTTACATGGATCTCAAATTATAAGAAAACTCTAGATTAAAGCAGGGTGAACTTGTTTTACTAATATACACATATAAGTGTCAGACTGTAATAAAGACATCTTTATATAGACTTTTATATAAAATCTTTTATTCTCTTTAATGTTTAAGGGCAATTGCATATACAGGTTTTTTTGGGAAATTTATTATCCGGGGTTACTTTTCTCACTTTCAGTCATGGACTAAATAAGAGAAAATGAACTCTGTGAAGAATAGCTCAATACTGCAAATTATACTGAGTTGGAGATTATTTCAAACTCAGTATATGTCTGAAAAACATTTGCATTAGCATCTACATTTAGGCTATGGAAAGATTTGGGTATACATTATCAAAGAACAAATTATATTTTAACTGTTATAACTAGTATTAAAAAGAGCAAAGTCTTTAAATACTCATTAAAACTTTGTTTTGAAAATGTAATCATCTAAAATTGGATGTTAAGACCACTAGTGCCAGAACTTAACCTCTCTTCACTCTTATATTCCAGCAACAAGGCCCTGGCAGTTACAGTCTTTGCACTTTTTGATCAATTTTACCAAGAAAAGAATAATTTGTATCCAGTATTACTTACTAACAAGTTGAAACCTGTGGCTATTTTTCTATTCATAAACATGTTCCTATAAGTGATCTTTAAAATAAATAATCAGAAACTGAGTGCAAACTTTGTCTCATGAAAATGAAAAGAGTATAACATGAAATGCCTTCATTTGAGGCAAATGTCACAGAAAGGCTAGTACCCAGAACTCAAATCTCTCTCTTTTTATTTATATACATTGGCATCACGTAGTTTTGGATAAGTTTAACAAGAATACACATCATTTCTTTTTGGGGATGACAGCAACACACAAACACCCCTGTCTTGCCTGTCATTATGTTACTGCTAAATCATCCACAACATCATGACCTGATTTTATTTTCTGGGGATGTAGCCCAAAAATGAAACTTAAGTTTCATTCTGATTACATACAAATAGCCAGCACTTAAGAAAACCCTTGAAAAGTGATCTATGTCTGATAATTAAAAAACAAACAAAACAAAAAAAGAAGGGGGAGAAGGAAGGAAGGAAGGAAGGAAGGAAGGAAGGAAGGAAGGAAGGAAGGAAGGAAGGAAGGGAGGAAGGGAGGAAGGGAGGAAGGAAGGAAGGAAGAAGGAAGGAAGGAAGGGAGGAAGACATATTTAAAAGCCTCATACAATTACACGGTAGGCCTCTGACATTCTCTATGCTGGTATAATAACTAAATGGCAAGTAACACAAAACAGTTATCCTTGTGAGATCCCTGTTGCATGCTTTAATTAAAACTAAAAATTTACAACAAAATCAACCCTTGGATAAATTGCTCTTTGGTTTAAATCTTCGTTACCTCCTGGAATTTTGGTAAAATCACTGTGTTTTTAAATTAAGCTGGCCTCTCCTTCTCTACTCCATTATAAAAGTCAAACAAGAACCAGACAGAAATCTTAGAATAGTTTTGTTTGTGTGTATGTGTGTGTTAAGTCCAACCCCTGTATACAAACTGGTAAAAAAAAAAAAATAGATGTTGTAACATAGTACTTTATTCCAACTTAATCTCATCCTTGAATGAACTTCCTTCAAATTTCAACCATTAAAAAAAATAAAATAAAATAAAAGCAGTCAATTTCCTGGTGGTCGTCATGTAAGCAAGTAACCTTTCACACTGAGCAAAACCCAAAAGCCACAGGGTCATTAATCTTTTCTAGTGATTAGAGACACCTCTAAGCGCTTCAAACATTTACCTCTCCTTTCCCGCAGTAGAAATGCTTTTAGGAGGATCATGGTTCATACCTCGCATTCCCTGGAGCCAGAGATGGTATATGTGCAGGGCCCAGATCCATTAACGGATATATCCATGGTCTCAGAGTTTGTAGGCTTGTAGTCCACGTAATACTCCTGTAACGGGGAATTCATTTGTCTTTCAGACTCCCTGGTCTTTTTCCGCCGCCTCTTCATGAGAGAGTGCTGCTGGAGCTGTTTCATGCTGGCGGGGTAGCGTTTCCAGGACACGTAGATAACCAGGAGGATCATGGCCACCGAGAGGAACAGGGCCACGCTCCCGGCAATGATTTTGTGAAACGAAACGTGCTCATATTCTTGTTCTGCGCCGGGGATCTGAAAGCCCGGGGAGGCGCTGGGTGCTTCCAGGGTGGGCTGGACGGGGTCAGATTGGGAGACTGTCGGTTTGGGAATAATCAGAGGCTTCTGGGGAGTTTGGGGCACCAGGTGGGCTTTTTCTGTGTTGACCACCGGGACTTCAGAGCAGATGTTATAGGTTTCCACGGCGTCGCTCACCTTTTCACCCTGGATATGCTTAGGTCCCGCACATATCATGGTGCTTTCCTTATTCCCTTTGAAATTCTTCAGCCAGTAAAATAGAGGGCAGATACTCCGACTGCATTCCCACATATTTCCAGACAGAGTGATGGATATTAATGATATCCACGCGTTGACAGTTTCCTGGGAGATGTTGGTGAGCTTGTTGGAATCCAGATTCAATTTCTGCAGATTGGGCAGGCATTTAAATGTGCCCGGCTCGATTCCTTGGATGTCATTCCCTGATAAATCCAAGTTGTGCAAGGAACTCCAAGTCCATGTCAAGCCTTGGCTGATGGAGCGAATCCTGTTCCATTGTAAGTAAATGGAGCGGAGGTTGAAGAGACGCGGGAAATGAGCAAAATTGATCTTTGAAAACTGATTGTGCTCCAGGTGGAGTTCCTTTAACTTCAGGAGGCCAGCAAAAGCATTGCGGGACAAGCTGCGGAGACGATTGTAACCCAAATCCAGGAAGTCGAGGTTTCGACAGTCTTGAAAAACTCGTATTGGCACAGTCTTGAGTGAGTTGGATCTCAAGTGCAAAATGATGAGTTTCCGGAGGCCTTTGAATTGTTCCGATTGCAAAGTCTGAAGCTTATTGTAGGAGAGGTCCAGATTGCGGAGATTAGGAACCGGGTGAAAGGTTTTATTGTGCAGATAGGTAATTTTGTTGGAGCTTAGAATTAATTCTTTCAGTCTACGGATGCCTTGAAATGCATCTTCATCCACCGAGCTAATGTAATTATGGTCAAGATAAAGCCATATAAGCTGGTTAAGGCCAGCAAACTGATTGGATTTGAGTTTCTGAATGCTGTTGAACCTTAATGATAAGCCTTGCGATCCTCCAGAAATGTTCTCTGGGATATCTGCGAAAGCATGAGACTCACAGTACACAATTTTGCCATCACATCTGCAGTTCTTTGGGCAAGCTCTCTGAGCCCCCGTGAACATAACAAGCAGCAGTGTGGAAAGTAGCGCTAGCACCACGCGCATGCCTCGCAGCTGCGTCATTAAACGGAAACCTACAATGTTAAAAAGAAGACAAATGCACATTGTAAAGCTATTCATATAAAGCATCCCCAGCTTACCAAGATCAAGGGCAGTGACGGGACAGTTGATTTCAGAACCAGGCATTTAACATTGAAAGCTTTCTTGTCTCCAGGGCTGCATGTTCCCTATCAGGTTTCATTCGTTCTTCCTTGATTTTTAAATCACCACAGGGCTGTAGAACCGAGAACAGCTTTCTTTCCCGAGTTTCAGGAGTTCATGCAGACATCAGCAGGGAAAAGCCCTGAGCCTGGCTTATCGCTGAATGCCAACATTTTAATAACAGTAAGTATTTGGCAAGTCAGTGTTGAATACCAATACCAAACGCAGGAGCACCAAGTCTTCTGGAAATGGGGGAAAAAAATACAATGTGGCTTCCTAAAGCCCCATGCTTGTACATCTTTCCTAGTTGAGCACGCAGGCTGTGATTTGGCAAAGGAGCTTCAGTCATATGTCAAGGTAATCCAAGTCTGTCCTGCCTGAAATTGTATCATTATTGCATAATAGAAAAACAATGTTTGAGCTCTGAGAAAATGGCATTGGGACCAGCGCGGGCAGCCAATGAAGCCTGGTACGAAGACTAATTAGTCAAGATCCTCAACATTAGGAAGAGCTGCCTGCCTTAGCTCTCCTGCCCAGTGATCTGCACAGCTCAGGACCCTGACTGTTGATAACACAAAACACTCCAAAGTTCAGATCCTCGGGTTCTCATTAAAATATCTGCATAAGGTGAAACATAACTCGCGCAGTGTTCGTTTTACTCTTACGTTTAACATAGTTGCTTTTGCAAATGTGAGGTATAAACAAGTAGAGAAACGCAAGCTACCATCCCCCTCCCCCCTATCCCAACCTGCTCAAACGTCTCGCGGACTTTTTTTTTTTCTCCCCTACCTCCATTAACTT